GTGGTGAACACACAATACAATATACAAATGATGTGTTATAAAATTGTATACCTGAAACCTATATAATTTTTAAAAAAAATATATCTTTATTGATTTCAGAGAGAGGAAAAGAGAGGGAGAGAGACAGAAACATCAATGATGAGAGAGTCATTGATCGGCTGCCCCCTGCACGCCCCCCACTGGGGACTGAGGCTGCAACCCGGGCAGGTGCCCTGACCCGGAATCCAACCACGATCTTCTGGATCCTAGGTTGATGCTCAACTGCTGAGCCACGTCCAGCCAGGTGAAACCTACATAATTTTATTAGCCAATGTCATCCCAATAAAGTCAATATTTTTTTTTTAAAAAAAGAGAGAAACATTGCCTTAACTAAACAAGTGCTTCCATCTGTGGCATGATCAGAAGAAATAGGAAATCATAGCAAGGTAAACTTTGGAGAAGAAATTGACAATATTAATGGAAATGATACCAGAATACTCTTTATTTTATTGAAGTTAAGGGTGATGTTTTCTTAATCTTTGATCTTAGAATCTGTAAAGAAGACTGCATAGGAACCAACATATATGGCTTGAGAAACAGGTCTCACAATTTATTATCATAAATGCATGTATATATTTGAAAAGCCTTGGCTTCTGCTGATGCAACATTTAATACCACTGAACTTAAGTGATCCCAAAGGTCATTATTGATTTATATAATTGTTGATGCAAAAACTTTCACCTGCGCACCTCATGAGAAAGGTATGTGGAGATGTCATGTAGCTAAAGACTGAGTTTAGCAAACCGTTCATGATATTTATTTCAACACAGGATATTTTGCCTGTAATGACCCTCATGAACTGATAAAAACTTACTTTCTTTGTGAAAAACAGTCACCAAAACAAGAGAGAAAATGTTGGAGATGTTGAATAGTCACTAACATGGTGGGAATATATATATATTCCCACCATATATATATAAAGGGAAAGAAGGATGCACCAGGGGAAATGGAATACAGGAGAAATGTGAGGGAGTGCACATACTACTTAAAAATTTATAAAGATTTTTGAAGTCTAAAGCAGTTTTTATATCTCAACCTTTTTTTTTTCCAGCTTTTATACGTGAAAATGGGCAGTTTGGAAAGAGAGGAGAAGATTTTCTTTCTATAGGACTAGGCTAGGTGAGTAGCCTTGGAAGCCCTAAGATGTTACTGTGAAAGTTAAGGTATTTATCAATCTACCTGTTCTCTGGCTCATGCCCAACAAGATTCATTTTAGAAGTATTTGTGGGTATAGGACTGTCTAAAATAAAATAAAAATTTGCAAGTTTACTTCCCCAGGTGTTTTTAAGGTACACAATTCTTTTAAGGCATTGATTCTCAAAGTGTGATCCCTGCACCAGTAGCATGGGCATCACCTGGGAACTTGTTAGAAATGTAAATTCTCAAGCACCACTCCAAAACTACTCAATCAGAATCCTTGGAGAGGTCCCACTCATCTAACGGACAACAGTATGGTGATTGCCAGGGGGGAAGGGGGTAGGGGAGGTCGAAGAGGGTAAAGGGGGATAAATGGGGATGGAAGGTGACTTGCTTTGGGGTGGTGAACACACAATACAACATACAGATGATGTATTATAGAATTGTACCCCTGAAACCTATATAATTTTATTAACCAATGTCACCCTAATAAATTCAATTAAAAAAAAAAAAACCCAAAATAAAAAATATCCCCTCAAACATCTTTAATTAATGTAGCTAAGAACTTAAACATTATGCTGGTCTAAGAAGTCTTTAGAATCCTAAAGACGTAAAGCTAAAGGCTGGATGCTAAGAAAAAGGACAACTAAAGAAAATGGACTGAGTGACCCAAAATAAAAGCTGAAAGAGCCTACTATAAAGGGTAACAGGCAAGGGTAACAGCTGTTAGACACTGGGCAGCACTCCCAGGGCCAAACTGAGCCTTATGAGAGATACTGTAGCAGCAGCAGCAACAGCATCATAGTGGTCGTCTTCTTCGTCTTCATCATCATCATCATCATCATCATCATCATCATCTATTTGCTGAATACACATGATCTCCATATACCAGGCTAGGAACTTACATACATCATCAAAATTTAATCCTTACAATACATTTATAGGATTTAGGATTTTAACTTTACCTGTATTTTACATATGATAAAACTAAGCCTTAGAGAAATTCATTGGCTTACCCCCAAATTTATTTAAGTAGCAAGAAGGAAAACTAAGATTCAAACTCAGCAGTGTGAATGCAAAGCCCACTTCGAACTGCTATTCTTTAATGATATCTCATAGCCTCTTTGAGCAAAGGGTGGCCTCAAGCGGTGGGCAAGAGAAAAGAATAAAGTGTTTATTTAGCAACGAGTTGAGTTAGATTTGCACAAACTATGGAGGGTGAGCAGGCAGAACTTGAGAAACTCAAAAGACACTTATATTCTGAAGGAAGGCTCTGTGGGATTGGGTGCCAGCCACACCCAAAAGCAGAGTCTCTGAAGTGCTGGAAACAAGGAGAGATGAGGCATAGGCAGGAAGCAGTGGGAACAAACAGCATACTGGGATGGAACCCCTGACACAGTCATGAAGTTGAATGTCCTAAGGGGAAGTGGTTCAGCCATCTGGTGCTAAAGGTCAAATGCCAACATCTACATAATTGTCCAAAAAACCCCTTCATGACTCAGGCTCAAGGAAAAGACAATCCTTTCTTCATCTCCCTATAAGTACAGGCTTTGTTGCTCATTTTCTCTTTCAAACAAATATGATAAAGATGAAAATTCAATAACATCTTGAATCAAACAGATATGGGTTTGAAACCCTGTTCTCAGCCAACAGGGAGACTTCAGCAAGCTACCAATTATCCCTGAACTTTAAGTTTTTGCATATTTATAATAAAGGCCTTAACACTTACTTCAATAACAATATTATAAGAATTAAATGAGACAAAGAATAAATGGTACCTGGAACTTAGTAGGTTCACCTCCACCCCTTAATATTAAGTTAAATCTAAGTTAATTTCACTTATGCTGACATAGCACGGAGATGTGTGCAGTATCATCTAACCCAGTTCTAGTTCTAACCCTCTCAGGTTGATCATGTTTGTAGCTTAAAAGTGTACAGATGAGTAAGAAAAAAGGGAAAGAACACTGAACATTTGGCATTAAGAGTTCAGACTTAAATATAAATGTGGTAGTCCTTAAAGTAATAATAAAACTTTTCCATTCTTGTAGAAAGTGCTTCAGATTTGAGTTCAGGTTGGTTTGGCTCCAAACTACTTGCATTCTCTGTGTGATCTTGAACAAATAACCTAAATTTAATGAACTTCTGTCTCCTCATCTAGAAACCAAGGAATATAATACTTAGATTGTCTAATTGTATTTGGTATAGGATAATACATAATTTCTAGCATGGCCTCTAGTGACTTTCCAATGACATTAAAGGTACAAATATTCATACCTGTAAAAGTACAAATGTTGATTTTGTAGCAATCTCATAATATAATGTGGAGCTGGCCATTAGATCAAATTTGTTCTAAACTAGTTATCTCCCCTGTCTGCTATTCAATGAGGTAGAACTTCGGTTTTGAGGGTGTGTGTGTGTGTGTGTGTGTGTGTGTGTGAGAAAGAGAGAGACAGAGAGATAGAGACACAGAGACACAGAGGGAGAGAGAGAGAGACTGCCTGTGTTTATGTTTTGAGGGAAATGGTAATTTAATCATTTACATATTTACACTTCTCTAGTTATGTTTAAACATTTTAAATGGGCTGCCTGAGATCCAAGCCCCAGTGTCTTTCATTATTGGACCTCAAATGCTCTGTACTAAACTAAAAGGAAAGCATTCTATGCTTTGACTGTGATAGGAACTTTGCAAGTCAGTAGGCATGCCTTTTAAAAGCAATAAAATGAAGCTCTCAGCCATTGCAAATGGACCAAGATGGAGGTCACATGACTAAACCACCTCTGCATCAGGCAGCCTCTGATGTATTTTACTCCAGTTTCAACCTATTAATCAGAGAAGTTGGAAGAGCAATAATTTAAATGCTGCAATAATCAATTCCATACACATTAATAGAAGCTACAGTCAAACTTTGCCACACCACTGACTGCTCTGGAATCTTGTCACAGGAGCCCTAGGGCCATGCCTAATTTGCATTAAATTTACATAAAATTGTAAATCAAGAATACATGAACACAGCCCTGATATTTGTTAGTGCTTAGATCTTGTTAGATGGATTGAAACTGCTGGTGGTTTGACTTTGCTTGCAATAAAATTGTGCAGCTGATCAGCTTTGTTCTCATTCGGCAATAATGAGGAAAGGGACCCGAGAGAGCTATAGTTTGGGGGCGTGTGTATGCCATTTAGGGTTTTCATCCCTTAAAACCATGACTCAGATGTGCCCTTGGAAACCCCAATCTAGAAGCAGATTGTCCCCGATGACTGCAGATCCTTGTCACTGCATTTGCTCACAAATAACTTGCCATTAGATGGAGACACAAACTGCATAGAATGGTGGCCAGCTGAGAGGATGTCAAGGACTCTGGAAATTTTTATTGTTCCAAACAACATTTACTATCATGAAAACAGATTAATTAGTAATATTTTTTTAGGATGTGGACAGGTAAAAATCAAACCTTCCACAAAGTATGCAGTACGTAACATCGTGAGAAAGAGGACTTGACATGGTTCTTAGCATTTGTGTGTTCTTTGTGCTCCTGTTTCAACTTATTCCAACTGTGGCCTCTGCTGTGTGTTTTCACACTGAGGGCTAGGAGAAAACATTCTCACCAAGGGTACTGGCTCACAGTGGCAAGACTCAACTCTCTATATTCCTCTTATCCTCTCATTTTAAGTCTATCCTTTTAGAGAGAAGACACTTACGTCCCATAATGTATTTAAACGTCTTCCTATTGTTTTTAGGAAGGATTATATAAGTATTTTCTACATCATGATTATTCAGTGCCTCCTATCTCTCATTCACCATCCACCTGTCCCGTCTTTTTCTTACCTTGCACGATCAAGTAAACTTGGGAGGTCTTGGGCTCATGCTGTGTCTGAACCGAACAAGTGTAGGAACCCTCATCATAGACATCCACCTTCTGGATCCGAAGGCTGTATTCCAGAGAATGGCGTTTCTCCAGCTCCACCCGGGGGTCCAGAGACCACTTGTCATGCCCAGCAAAAATGATGCCAGAGCGGTTCAACCAGGCCACCTTCGAGTTCTTGTCTTCTACAACGCACCTGTCAGAGCAGAATAACAACAGCCTTAGAGCTTAGCCATACCTGCATCTGCATTCATTCTCCACATGATTAGATTCAACAAGACTAGTCAAGAAAAATAATTATATGCATGATGAACCATTGCCATGTTCTTTCTTAGAGTCTTAAGTATCATCACTGGTTCTCCTTTAAGACCTAATTACCATTCAATGGATAGATGTCATCATATTAGACTCAATTCAGCAATAAACAATCTGAGTATGAGAAATGTAGGCAAATGAAGTTAAATGGGTATTAATTACCCGCTGGATTATCGTCTTGTCTAGGAAAAGGTCGTTCACACAGAACTCCATCTGTTTAAGTAACTTTGAGAATTAGATGATTGATAATGTGGCACATTCACTCAATTTTGAATTATAGTTATTCTTTCATAACTGTTTCCTGAAGTCTTGTGCGATGGTATATTCAAGTTATGCCCCACCACTGCAGGAATTAGACTAGATTTCAGAGTTTGCATCTGATCTGAATGAGTCTGGGATTCCCACTCCCAGGAGTGAGGTGTGCGTGAGCGGGTCCCAGTGAGTGGACAGGCGAGTGTCAAGGTGATCAGAGCGGCCACCATCCTGCCCAAGCCTGGTCCCGGCTGCTGAGGGCAGCGGGCTGTCTGCTGGCGAGACAACTTACTACCGGCATGTCTGACCGCATTAGAATGAATTCGATCTTTTATGGGAGATGAGGAAACCAGTTTTGTAGTTTCTATTCCAAGGAAGATGAAGGAAAATTTACTTGAATACTTATTTTAGAAACCTAAAAGAGCCTCTCCCTGAAACTTGAAAGAAAGGGGCAAAGAACACAGATTAGGGAGAAAGAGTAAACCCTTCATGGTGAGTGCAGTTTTCTTCAATTCTATCAAGAATCTGGAAATGAAAAAAAATCAAGTAAAAGTAAATTCTGTTTGTTTCACGTTGGCAAGATTTACATCTGCCCCACAGGAAGAGGGTCCAGAGCTGTTCAGAGCTGCAGAGCCAGCTGCTCAGCACTCTGGGGCACGAGGGATGGACAGAAGACAGGGATATGACAGTAAAACTATTAAGACACCACATTCCCCTGTATTTTCCAAACCAAGTCAAATCCAGGTTTCCTCTCAGGTTAAAACAATCGGGCATGGAGATTCCACACTCACGCATGGACAGGAAATTTATGTCTTATCCAAAGGCTGTCCACTGCAAGGATACAGAGGCCAATCCGTAACTTTCATAATAAAGGAGACAGGCTGAGTCTTTTAAAAATTCCCGTGGAACAGAAGACCTCCTTACCCCATTAATTTTTGTTGAATTATGTATTTTATTTAGCATGAGTATTTTATTTAATTAGTTGCATTCAGGTCTTTCAGCAGGTCTTTCTTTTCTTCTCAGCCTATTTATTTTCCTAAACATAGGTAAATTAAGGTATCATTTAGTATCTCCATTACTCAATATGTGTTTCTTTGCCATACAGATGTTACTGAGATTAATCAGATGCATTTGATAATTAAAACTTCTCCATGAGGGAGTGCAGAGCTAACTTCATAGATACTTGCTGCTTCTTTCTAGACTTAATTTTACTTTTCCTGTTCTTTTTATGGTATCATTTCCCTGTTCTTGGTGATGCTTGTGGCATGTCTCAAGTTAGAATCATTTATGAATTACATAACATTACATATCAATGTACATAACATCTTATTTTTACATTGTGTTTGCCTTTCTTCTAGATCATGAATGAAGTTGTTCATGTAGATTTACTGTATTTTTTCTGTTTACTGAGAAGAATAGAAATGTACCTCTATAAGTGCATTTCAAATCTATCACATTTCTCCTTGCACTTTTCTCATCTATACAGCTCAGCACAGTAGCAAGCAGATATCACAGAGATGTACTCTGAATGCTGTTTAGCCCAGCATATTAAGGTATCTCCCAAAACTAATCTGGTGTAAAACAGTAAATGCCTGGTAAATGCGTATCAGGTGAACTAATAGTGTCACAATGTAGACACAAGACATATGGTTTCTTACATTATATTCCACCCCACCCCCAATCCCAAGCTCTATTGCATCCACAAATGAATTGGGTGAATTTTCTTATCTGCACAAGATAAGAGTTTCTAAGTCAGATCTTTAGGGTCCTTTTGATATTTTAGCAATTTTTTGTCCATGGAAAAGTTAAAATTACCACACAGATCATTATTCCAAATTATTCTCTGAGAGGAGTCAGATCTATCTTACTTAGAAGTAACTGAATATTTCAGCAAAATTGCCAGATCCATAAAAATGCATCTACTTGAGACAATATATTATGTGGGGACTTTGCTATGACAATGTACATAACATCTTATTTTTACATTGTGTTTCACTCGTATTTAATTTTTAAATTTATCTTTTACAACCAAATAGGTGAAAAGTGTATTAAATTCAAACACATACACATACACTCACTCTTTTCTACTAACTCAGTATAGTTAGCCAACTCAAAGCACCACGTAGTATTTTTTAAAAGAAAACTACTCCTCCAGATATTTAAGGGTTCTTTTTATGTAATCAATAGTTCCAAAGTAAGTGCATTGACACACAAACTAGAAAATCATGTTTTGTAATGTGACGAAAACTTTCATACTGGAAAATAAGCAAACGAATAACATAATTTCAGAGCTAATTAATTTTAGAATCTTGATACAAGGTAGTAACTATTTTAAACTATAAGTACATGTAACAAAAATAACCACATAAAGTCAAAGTAATAGTCTCAACTTGTGGAATTTGTTTCTTAAATGAAAATAACCAGTCACACAGCAGGTAGTCACAGAATGCCTAGCTACCTGGAAGTGAGAAAATGCTGATTAAATGCAGACCCAAGTTCCCAGCATGCAGACTGGCCAGTAAGCAAAATGAGCTTGTATCTAGGAAGTGAGTTGGCTTCACTGGGCATTAGGCATGCCTATAGAGAAAATGAGAATTCTCATGCTGTGCCATTATAATATGGTAATAATGTATTATCTCCCACTCAATGCTGCTCCAAAATCAGACAATCTACTTCAAAAATGGATACCTAATGGCTTTCTCTCCAAAATCATCGTTCACTAAATCAAGAAAAGCGTAGAGATGAATTTTAAAAATCTGTCAATGTTATGTGCTGTTTGGATTTAATGGAATATTTCTTCCAAGAGTTCAAGATGTTGCAGATCATTCCAAGATTTAGAAAGGATGGTACCCTAAAGAGAGTGGGTGCTATTGGCACGAGGAGAGGGGCAGAGAATGTCCCCTACACTCTAAGTGGGATTTCTGGCAGGCAGCTAAAGACATGGGACATAGTGCAGGGTGCCACCTCTCCAGGAAATGTTCTCTTATAAGCATCCCATCCTTTCACTTGGCTCCTTCTTATGACCTCATTATAATCCACATTACATTAAAGTTATTTGTATGAATCTTTCCTTATAAAGTGATTAACAACAGTGAGCCTTCTGGAATTCACCTATGAAGCCCTAACAGGGCCTAGCAGAATAAACTCTCCAGGTACACAAGCACTGAAATGTGGAATAAATAAACAGAATTTAATATAACAAATTGCTATTAGATCAATTATGAAATATTTGTTAATTATCTAATAGGTACACAACAGATGGATAACTATTTTAACTTTTCTTAAGAAATAAATAAAATGATCAGATACAAAGGGAACATTTAAAGAAAATTATTGAGTATGATATTAACATGAAACCAAAAGAGAAAAAAAATGAGCTCAGTATTTCCACTATGAAAAAAGATCACCCTCAGGAATTAAATAATCTACATTGTATGTGCAAAACAACAAAAAAGCATAGAGCACTAGATAAACATTTAGTGGATTGTTCATTTTAACCATGAACTCAAAAACATCAAGTGAGTTACTTATCTTAACTGTGAAACAATAATATTATAAAAATCAGTTTAAAAAAATAACAGGAAAGGCAAGCAAACACACTTCTCTCTTCCCTGTTCAGGATACCTAAATTCATAAAACTCACCAAAAAAATCAATGCACCCATAAAAATTGCAAGCATTGGATCTCTGTGAACATTTTATACCAAGTATATCATGCACACTTATACAAACAGGTACATTCACAATTCAGCTCTCACTGCGTAAGTCTGGAGATTATGTTTCCAAAACGATGAATTTAATTGGAGGCAAAAAAGAAATGCTAAATTCAGTTTGTACAAACTGATTGCTTAATTTACTGACAGAATATCCATGATGCAAGTGATACACACCTACCATATATTAAGCCTGTTCCTTGTTCTTAGAAAACATAAACATCTCTCTAGCTGCCTTACTCCTATCTCTACTCTTTCCGTTGTTGACTCCTGGCTTCGACTCCTGCCTGCTCTCTTGGCCTTACTCTTGCTCTTGCGCAGCACTGCTCAATCTTAATCCTCTTGAACCAGAAACTGATCTTAGTTCTAGATTTATACTGAATTTTAGTCCTATTAACACCATGACTGTATCTATATGGTAGGATCATGTCCTCTCACTCTTCCTCCTTTGCACGCATTCATGTACATGTGCCCGCATGCACATGTGTACACACACACACACACACACGGAGTAGTGGTGGATGTTTAAGAGAGGGTGAGAACACGGAGGTAGTACACCTCAGGGCCAGATGTGTGTGACTCTGTCACCGGTCACGGTGAGGCATACTCTATGCTTTGTGGACCTCCATGTTGCAAGGATGAGCCTATCCCTTCTCCTTCTCAGTGTGTGGGTGGCAGTTACAGGCTCTCTGAAGTAGCAAGAAACTATAACCCGTTCCTCTCATTTGAACGATGGGTTCTCTCCTCTTTTCTCCCCACTTGGTTGAGGAGGGTGAGAAACAATTTTAAATCTTGCTTTTTTTCTAATTCTTGTTGTGAGTCTCTGTTCTCTGTGAAAAATCTCTTTCATTTAGAATGGGGGGGAAATTGCCTTGAGTTGTACCTTTGAGAAAGTAAAATTAATCTTGGAGTCCTGGCTGGAATTTCTATTTAAAAATTTCACTCCCTATGCAGTTAAAAACAATTCCACAGCTATTTAAAGAAAATTTTGTTACCTTCTGAGTCATTACAAAGTAAATATCAAAAGTATGCTAAGTTCTAGAAGGAAAAAAAATATGCTCTATACCATGTAGGATTTACCCTTTATCTCATTCCAGAACTAAGGAGAAGTAAAAGTGCTTACAATAAATTATAATGCACTTAGGATAAGCATTCTGTTGTATGAGGCATGGCTGTAAAGTCAGGATACTGTTTTCTATAAGTCTCACTTGAAAACCCAACCCCTTACTTGATAGTCTTATCATATACAGTATTATATAAATTTTTATCATTGGAGCAAGATGTTATGACTCATCATTGCGTGAAGTAGACATAATGTGGATCAAATTATGCCTCTAAGATATGGCCATTAATAGATATACCATGTATGATATAACAGAGTTAACGTATAGTAATTAAGTAAGTAAATAAGAGGTAATGAGACTATCAGGGCTACCTTTAGAAAAGGGGCTCAGCAGTCTAGTATACCTACACTATAAGAGGCAGAGGTAAAATAAATAAAGGAGATAAATATAAAGAGTAACAGGAGTTTTCAATTTTTAATGTACTTTTGGATACAAATGTGAAATAGGGGACTCTAGTAGCTGCAG